CATAAATGAACAACTAATATATGTTATTTAAATCGTAATTTAGAAATAATATTATTTTAATTATAAATAATAATATAAATAAAAATATTCTACTCTACATTGTTATAGGCACACATTGCATTTTTATTGCATAATAAAATATAACATAGAATTTGAATTGATGCATATTGATGCATCATGAATAAATATATTTTTTCTAAATAATAAAAAAAAATAAAAACGAGTTTTTAGGAAAAAAAAAAAAAAGAAAGTTTTAAAAACGTGGAATTATCTTGAAGAAGAAGAAGAAGAAGAAGATATTCAAAGTATCAACTGGTGGAAAACGCGTGAAACGCGATCACCGAATGAGGTTGATACGAAACCAAAAGTTAGAGAAAGATAGATAAATAGATAGATAGAAAGAGATAGATAATTGAGAGGGCAAATTGGAGAGGGTTTTAGAAGATGATAGAGAGAGAGAGAGAGAGAGAGAGAGAGAGAGAGATGGTTTAGGTCTCTCATATACGTGTGCATAGCATTATAACGGAACAATCGATATACGCTGTCAGCGGCATACAACTCGAGCAGCCGCTCTGCTGTGTTGCATGAACTAAGCCAACCATCCTCTTTCCCTTTCCCACCCACACCTTGTCTCTCTCTCTCTCTCTCTTACTCTCTCTGACTCTCTTTCTCTCTACGTCCCTCGGCAGCACCGTTCAACGACCGCAAACTACCTAGTCCTCCAAAGTCCACGTTTCACTTTGCATAACCTACGAGGCAACCGCAACCTCAAAACCATTTTCCCACCCCGTCTATGTTCACCGCCTGCCATCGATGATATTTTCTTCTCTACGAATCGCAATTACGCCAAAAGGATTTACCCAACTCTCTAGGGAATCAAATATTTCAAATAAATAATATTTGAAGATTGTATGTTCATTATTCCCCATATGTGGGACATGATCAAATTTCACGCATTTTTTTAGTAGAGTGTACTCGATACGTAAAATCCTATCACCACTTAACACGTTTAACGCCACATAAATTCTTAGGGAAATTCTCGTCAGGCCACAGGCGTTACTTTGTATTGAAAAAATACCCTAATAGCACAAAATATTGAATATACATGTGTATTTAATATATTAATTGTTATATTAAATAGACATTGAATCTCTTTTTAATATTAAATACACATGTATTCAATATTTAATGCTATTAGGGTAGTTTAACGTGTCAGTCACCAATGACGGACGTGGCCTAAACAGAAAGTCTAGTGTCAGCCACCGATGGCTGACGTGGCGCTCAACATTTTAAAATATAACCTAACTGGAAATGAAGAAATAAGAAGAATCATAAAAGAAAGATGAAGAATCACGCAGGTGTTGTTGTGCCATAAGAGAGAGAGAGAGAGAGAGAGAGAGAGAGAGAGAGACGTTCAAGAAGGTAGACAGGACGTTGGCAGCAATTATGTTCGTCGAATGAACGGGTAAAGAAACTGAGACGAATGAAAAGCCCACTGAGAATAGAAAAAGAATAAGAGAGAAAAGAAGAGGGATAGAGAGAGGGTAAGATAAAGTCAAAAACGAAGAGGAAGAGGAAGAAGAAGGGAGTGAATTTTTTATCGGTAAAAACTCCATTAGAGAGAGAGAACATAGCGTCAGTGTTTGTTATTGGTCATCCTTGGAGAAGATGGAGAAAAGAAGGAAGGAAGGAAAGAAGGAAGGAAAGGGATGAGTAAGAGGGATAGGGAGGGGGAGTTGTCCGGCGCAGAGATATCCATTGATCCGAGGGACGGTAGATCTCCCCTTTACTCCACCCCTGCACCTAAGAGTCCATCTTCTTCTCTTTCGATAGAGAAAGAAAGAAGAAGGACGAAAAATATCGTGCGAGACAGAAAAAGTAAAAGTAAAAGTAAAAGAGAGAGAGAGAGAGAAAAATAGAGATGGTCGGGTAGATAAGTAAAAAAGAATACGGGGGTGAGGCTAAAAAAAAAAAAATAAAGTAAGAGAGAGAGAGAGAGAGAGAGACGAACTATAATCCCTTCCAAAGTGTCCAGAGTGTACGAACGTACGCAGGCATCTACAATGTTCCTTTCCTGCGGGTGGTATCAAAGAAATCAATTATCCAGCAATACATACATGTTGTGCAGTCCACCTCTCCAATACTCTCACCCGATCCCTTCCTCCTACCTAGCCACCATTCCCTCTTTTTCTCGCCACCACTTCTTTCCTTTTCGAGCCCCTTCTCCTAGCAGAAGACCTTCCTCCTTTCCTTTCCTTTCCTTTCTATCTTTCTCTTTCTCATTCTTTCATACCACCCACATACCCCCCGTTTTCTCCACGACCCACATATTTATTTTATACTGCCCGCAGCTTATACGAGAGTTCCGTAGAAGAGGAAGAAACGCTTTTGCAATACCCCGGAATCCCCCAAGTTCCATGAGGATGCTTCGTCGACGTCGTCGTCGTCGTCGTCGTCGTCGTCGTCGTCGTACCCAGGAAAACTCCGCCTTTTTCTTTACCTCGACCGTGGCCCGTGCTCAATCGATATTGGATGTCACTTCGCGATATACCTCTACACGTGTATAATCCTCCTTCTCCTCCTCCTCCTCCTTCTCCTCCTTCCACAACCCTCTACCCACTGGTCCCCTTCCTCTTCTCTTCTGCGTCCTCTTCCTCTTCCTACCTCACTCCTATCCACCCACTTCCTCTAACCCCCACGAACAGTGGAACCAGAGCTATATTCAAACTCCAACTCCAACTTGTTCCTTTCCGTTTCACCGTTCGATTTATATCCAACGCGTTTCCGCGAGACGGACGATCGTAATTATCGGCGTTGATCGTATGGAACGGATACGAACGAACGAGTAAACAAAATACCAAACGCATATACCCTACCCTACTCTCTCTCTCTCTCTCTCTCTCTCTCGCTCTCTCTCCATCTTCTTCCCTCAACCCAATATGCGTATATAACGTAAATACATGTAATGGATATGTATATATGTATATACTTGAGATATACGTCGATTCCCCGTTAAGGGTATCGCTTACCCTTAACGGGGAAAGGTTTCCCTTTGCTTGTCCAAAGACACCTTCGTGTTTCGATGTTAAGTCGGTGTCGAATGAATGCCCGGACAAGATACGTTAAACTACTTTCGAGAACTTACCGAAAACAGGAGTAGAAAATACTCCTTTTTTTTCTTTGATTCACGTAGTTATCCTACGTAAAGGAATTAATCCAAAAAGAAAGTTCATTCATTTGAAAAATAAAAAACCAAAGAATTTGAGATTTATCAAAAACACGAACAATGAACGTGAATGTCCTCTGGGTTCTAGGGATAAACGATTAGAAAAGATTTGAAAATAAAGAAAGTAAAATAAACGATGATTACTTGTGTAACTATTCCAAAAAAAAAAAACCCCCATGGCAAAGAGAAGGAAAGAAAGGGTGAGAGTTGGGGGGAGAGAGAAAGTGGGGAGAAGAATGTTAAGCGAGTATATACAAATGAATGGCGCCAATGTCCGGTAAAGCTATAGAGATCCGTTTATCAACGGTGCATCTCGCTTCCAATCACTCGGACGATATAACGGTATTAATCTAAACTAAAAACAGTCCGTCAGAGTAACGTCGCTTCCGGGATACACGGGGCTTCGAATCGAATGGATTGCAAACGGACGGATAGGCAACGTTGGGAATCGAACGAGAGAAGACAATGGCCAACGAACACCAATGAGAGAAAAGGAGAAACAGAAAAAGAGAGACAGAGAGAGAGAAAGAAGAGATAAAATGAAACGATAGCAACTAAAAAGAGAGAGAGAGAGAGAGAGAGAAAGAAAATAAAGAAAGAATGAACAAGAGAGAATAGGAAATAATAAAAAGAGAAGAAAAAAATAATGGAAAGAGATAGAAGAGAGAAAGTGAGTGTGAGTGTGAGTGAGAGAGACAGAGAGAGAGAGAGATAGAAATAGGTTCGACTGGACAGCACGTGGACGACTGGACTCTCTCTACCTACTTTTATATCGCTCGGGAAATAATGGGATTCCCATCATGAAGTGGATTTCCCTCGGGAGCCAGTGGACATCGATGCACGCGTCAAGAGATCCTACGCCATCCGACGCCCGTATCCTATCGCTCTTTCTCTCTCTCTTTCTCTTTCTCCCTTCTACACCTTCCTTCCCCCGTAACTATCCTCATCCTACCTACTCTCTCCTCCTCCTCTTCCTCCTACATCACGACAGAGCCCTAGAGAAGGGCTGACTACTCCTCCTCGATCGTCTCTCGTTCACCTGTCCGTCCACGTCTTCTTGTCTCTTTCTTTCTTATTCATCTAACTCGATCTCTGTCTGTCTCTCTCTCTCTCTCTTTTGTTTCTATCTTTCAATGTTATCATTTAAAAAAAAAAAAAAAGTTTAACAAATATAATCGATATTTCGTATTTTCAATTAAAAATTTTGAAAATATTATTATTGCAAGTTTTTTTCTTGTTTTGTTTTTGTTTTAAATTTAGCGGGAACATTTTTATAATTTCGAATTAGTAAAACAAGAAATTATTAAATTGAATTGATTACCTTTTTTATTTGCATCTTAGTGATGAATTTCTTCGATAAATTGTAGAATGGATTTTCCTCTTCATCCTATTTCGATCGAATATATTCCTAGACTGTTTAAATTGCTCAAAGTTTAGTCTTTAGAAGGGGGAACACTTTTTCAAACGATGTACTTCCTTGGTAGACATATTTGTAAATGTCGAGAACCGCGCTTCTTCAATCTGGTTCAAGTAAATGCACCACTGACGACATCTGTTGATACATTTGAGGAATTTAATTACCATCGTTGGATAAAAAGTAATCTGTTTTACCTAATGAGAGATGGAAGATAATGCAGAGATCTTCTTTATTCACCCAAACTCCTTGGATAACATCATTGTTGTAGTTTTGGTTAAAAAGCGTATATTTTTTTTAAGTCTATATAAAAAACAAATATTTTTCTATTAAAAAATGAAAATTACTTAATAATCAATTTGATTGTTATAAATTGTTATAAAAACGAATATAATTAAATACATATAAAGTAATACTTGTGCGTAAAAACATCAAAATTGCATTATTTTTTAAGGTTAACCGGGTATCATGGATGTATAATCGAAAGAAAAGTATTTTCACATATAAATACATTTTATACAGTAAAATAATCAAATACGATTCATCATGACGACGTTTTGGAAATCAATTAACAATAATTTAATTTCACGTGCACTTTTAAAATACAAGTAAGCGATATTATCATGGTATTACTTTTAATTTGAATATCTAGGTTATGTTCATAATTATATTTCTTTTTTAATACAAAATATTCTATTATAATTCTTAGTGTTGATATTATTAAAGTTCCTGTACGAGAAAGGTTTGCAAATATACCTAAAAAACGTCATCCAGGTTGGCTTCCTAAACAAAACCGTGTTGTAAGTTAAATTTTATTTAATATTACTAATATAATTGTTTAATCTTACATAGCCTAAAAAATCTTATTTAATTGTACATGTGTTCGCATTTTATTAATTACAATTTTATATATATATATATATATATATATCTCTTTCTTTTTCTTTTTCATAATAGCTACACGACGAACATATTACCCCCGAAAATAAAACATTTATTAAAGAAGTCATACAATCAAAATATAATTCACCGCTTAATATAAAGCCAATTGAACCAATCACAGAATGGAGAAAAGGACTCAAAAGAACAGGTTTGATAGCCAAAAAAATCGGTATTTATCCAATGTGGTTAACAAATGGAAAAAAAGTTTCATCTACGTTACTACAGGTAAATTAAATGACTCTCATTAACGTCGTGCCATAATAAATAATAATAGTAATAATAAATTCATTTTTACAGATCGTTGATAATCAAGTAGTAAAATATATAACACCAGAAAATTTTTTCCCAGTTAGAACGAAAGCCAAAAACATAGATTACAGAGTAAAACACAAACTTGGATCTCTCGTGGTAGGAGCAGAAAGTTCAGACCCACAATTGGTATTAATTTTAAAACGAATTTTTATCTATCTTTTTTGTTTCTCTCTCCCTCATTCTCTTTCTCTCCAGTTCACGTCAATGGTACAATTGATAACATTGAAAATATTTTTTTTATTTATAGTTTAGAAAAGAATATTGCGGCCTATTCAAAGATTCCGGAGTAATGCCTAAACGTATTTTGATGAGATTTATGATATCGCCAGAAGCTGCATTACAACCCGGTACACGTTTGTACGCGGCTCATTTTAAACCAGGCGATGTTATTGACATTCGTGCAAAAACGTAAAAACTACTTTATTTTCATTTGAAATATATATTTGTATATTAATGATAAAGCATGCGTTATTCTAAAGAACGATATTTCTATATATCATTATCATTAATATTAATATTATTATTGTTATTATAATAATAATTATTATTATTATTAATAATAATTAGGGTAGACCGTGGTTTTCAAGGAGTCATGAAAAGATGGGGTTTCAAAGGAATGCCTGCGTCTCATGGCGTAACTAAAACTCACAGAAGGCCAGGAAACATTGGCAGTGGTGGAGCAATGGCTCGGGTAATGCCAGGTACTAAATTACCTGGTCACATGGGTAATCGGTGGCGCGTAATTAGAGGTTACAGGGTAAGATATTAAACAAATACAATTTACAACTATATATGTATATACATTATTCATTAATTTTTAGTGATATTTCTTAAAAGAAAACAATATTAATTGTTGTTGATTAGGTGTCTCATATAATTCTTGCTTTTTCAGATTTTACGAATAAATACAAAATATAACGTAATTTGGGTTATGGGCCAAAACATACCTGGAGAAACGAATACCTTTTGTTATTTATTCGACACGATGCTACCTTGTAGAAAATCAGAAACTCCCCCATATTTCCCAACTTATTTACCCGATTTAAGTAAAGAACCATTGCCAGAGGATTTATATGCAGATGATGTACATCCATTCAAAGCACCCACAATTCGAATCAGCGAAGAATCTTAATTGTATTATATAATAAAGTTAACATAAAAAATTATATATATACGAAATATATATATATATATATATAATAATGTCAAAATAAATTCTTGTTGTTTACGATTACTTTTCCTTTCGATGCTACTTATTTAGCATTCATTGAGATATGTTGTATAAAATAGTACAATTTATTAATTAATTCGACATTAAACTTGAGGCAAAACGCCCAGACTGAAGGTTAGAGTTATGCCGGATTCACGCTATTTACTTTTTTTATTATAGCCGCTAGCTCCTTATAGAAATGTCGACAATCATTAATTATGCTAGTAAAGAGTAGTCAATCGATTCATTTATTTAGTAATCAATATCATTATAAATTTAACATGCCTAAAATATACACGAATCGTTTTATAAATGTAACATCGCTAAGCAAGACTCATCCTGAGTTTGAGTAAAGAGCAACATGTTCAAGCAATAAAAAGGTCTCCTCTCTGCGCCTCCATTTGAGAGAGCAACTAATCAATTTACTAGAATAATTTACTCGCACATATCGTATTGCTAGCTGCGTCCGGCTAAGACTCGCTCCGCCAATACTTTTATTATGCGTAATAAAGAAAGGTAACATACATATCAGAAGAATTGGAAGGATAGAACATAAGGACACAGTCGATGCTTGCTTCGTAACAGTTTGTCAGCTCCATAAATCTTCCATTTTAAGTTTTTTTGTGGTCAGAAAAATCAGCAGATTGCTTTGTCTCTGAATCAGCAAGAAGTACGACTCTTGGTTCAAATAGTGGCACGAGATAAATAATACCACGTGTTGTCAGTGGAGCAGAAAAAAATGTAGGATTAGGAGGAAAGGGAAAGCAGATTTGCTCCACCTCGGATTTTGTCGGGGGACGGCACGATCGGATGAAAAAGAAAGGAGACTCTCTCAGAATTTAAAACCTTCACTCGGAATACTCATTGTCTGATCAAATTCAAATGTTCCATCTCCAGCCTGCGCTGGGCAATTAGTTTCATCAGCCTATGTAATCGTGAAAAAATAAATTCGTTAGTTAAGTCATATTAAAGTAATAAATCTTATCAAATAATTGTTTATAAAAAAAAAAAAAAATAAAAAAAATTTAACCCTAAACCCTACCGACAATTTTTGTATAACCTATTCCTACCTACCACGCTCGGTCAAATTGACCGGTAATTAAAAAAGTTATCGATTTTAGTATTCAATGTAAAATTATTTTGTATATCTAAAATTATTTATAAAAAAAAGAAAAAAAAATCAAATAAAATTAAACTTTTATATGCAATGTTATGCATACATACATTACTTATATACTATAATACTACATGTATATACTTTATTCGGCTTCCTTACAATATTTACAAATTATTTTAGTCTGAAATGTACATTTGCCGCAAACATATTTTTCACACTTTGAACAGATTGTTGTTGTTTTATAATCTTTACAAAATTTCATTTGACAAGTTTTTCAAATCTGAACTTGTGGACGCTGTTGACAAAAGTATTTTTTCGTGAGATTTTTAATATGTATCGCAGAGCTCTGAAACTAACTTGGATTCCCAAATGGACTTGAACATTCTCTCCTTTCATCCTTTCCCAAATAGGGAAACCCATTTATTATATACTTGCTATTGACGTTACACGCCAACCAGAACTTTATTCCAAATTTGTCTGGTTTGTTGGGAATATACTGTGTAAATCTACACTAGTAAATCGATCCCATATTGTAGATACCATATTGTAGATACCATAGAAAATTTATTGGTTTGTATTTATCATTTAGCAATAAATCAATCATTAACTGCATTGAATACTAAAATCGATAACTTTTTTAATTATCGGTCAACTTGATCGAGCGCGGTAGGTAGGACACCTGATAAATTTTTCTTGGACAAAAAAAAAATAATAACTAAAAGTACAGAGTGAAAAAAATGTTCTATGCATATTCTAAGAATTGTTAGATAGTTCGATAACGGTATTATAACGTTTAATTTAATGTGTGTTATTTCATAGTTGTATAGTTTAATGTATGTTAAACGTGTACATTTTATAAAAGTTTGATAAAGGTCAATTTGACCAATACTATTAGATTTAGTATTAACAATATCGTTCCTTACCTCTCCTGAAAAATATTGCTCGATAATATCATAAGCTAGTTTATAGATGTCTACATTCTCATGATTTTGGAGACTTTCAATTTTATCCAAGCCTATAAAACATAAATATATATTTTCATTAGTTTATACGATCGGATAAAATATTATACTATCGTAATAACGATACAAACCTGAACATTCCTCTATCATGTTAGCTAAGTATTCAACATGTGCACCAGCAACTTTGAGCATGTTTTGTATACCATCAAGTACAACTTGTATAACTTGGGTATCTTTACATGAAAGGAGATCGCAGAAAGGTGCGATTACTCCTTCTTGAATAAGCCGTCCAACTTGATCACTATTACCACTTATTGTTAAATTACTGATTGCCCATGCTGCTTCTTTTTGTGTTTGGAATTCTCCCTGAAATTTACATTGCAATTTCAATTAAAATTCGTCTCTCAAACGTGTCATTTTAAAAAAAATTAAAAGAAAATAAGTAGATATATTTATACCTTCGCCAAATTACGAATAATAAGTGGCAATAATCCAGCATCTATTACCGCTTGAACTTGTGTTTGATTACCCGCAGTAATGTTAGAAAGGAACCAAATAGCTTCTTTACAAATTTTCTCTTTTGGATGAGTTAATAAATTTGGAAAATGTGAAAGAGCGTCACAATTTAAAACAACTTGTGTTTGTTCATCCGAACCAGTTACAATATTGCCAACCGCGCGTAAAGCTGCTGTCAATAGTTTAACTTCTTTGTGCGAAAGAAGAGGAATAAGACGTGGTACAACACCGCTATCTATCACCATCTGGATTTGTTCATTACCGCTATCAGTAAGATAACTTAATGCCCAAACTGTGTCGATAAGAACCTGAAGTAAGAATAATAAACATTCGAATTAAATAATAATAATAATAATAATATAAATATAAAATAATATCTTATTACTACTAAATTTTGTAAAATTAATTTTCATTACTCAAAGAGATATTACGAACATTAATATCTGAGTGATGGATGAGCATATTAAGTGCAGGTAATATGTCCTTTATCGTTTGAACAGGTGGAGGAGGTTCTTTATTTCTACACAAGTTGACGATCACCCATGTGACATTACGTAAAAAAGGTAGTGGAATATCAGGTTTAATAAACCTTAATAAAGGCTGTACAACACCAAGATTGATAACATAGTCTCTAGGTGCTGGACCATCTCCAATAATATTTCCTAAAAACAACGTCTCATTGTTTATTGTATATGAAAACATTCAAATGAATTTTCTTCAAATGAATACTCACCTAAAGCCCAAACAGCTTGTTCACAAACATTTTGCTGACTCGAAAGTAACAAATGTAGAAAAAGTGGAACAGCACCAGCTGCGACTACAGCTTGTGTTTGAGCGGATGTTCCACTAGCGATATTCGTAAGTGCCCATGCTGCTTCGAATTGTAAAGATGAACTACAAATTAAAGAAATAAAATAATTACAATATATACACATAATCATACATATCATTTAAGTTATATCACATTATCATACCTATTGTGCTGTTCAAGACAACGAACTAAAATCGGTAAGATACCACTTTTAATTAATGGATCAATTGGTGGATTGCGATCCGAAGAAAGTAACTTTCTTGCTGATTGAACAGCTTGTAATTGTTCAGCAGGATCAGGACTTTCCGCTTTCATTACTAATTCCTTTAAATTGATTTGTGACAAATTCTTTTCATTATCATCTTCATCTAATATCATAGAAAGTCGTTAATGTATTATATTGTAAAAAGAAACATTAAGAAAATTATTATTATTATAAAACAACGAAAGTTCTAATAGAACTTTCAATATTTATTTCAGCAATTATTATATTACCAGTTGAATCTGTGATAGGTACGTTTCTCCTTTTTTGTAAAGTCTCTTCGCGTCTGTTTTTACGCAACTCAACTGTTACTTCATTTCGTCTTCTTCGCATTTCCTGTTAACAATATAAAATGAAATATACATACAAATACAATAAACATATACAAATATAATCTTTCATACGAAGGATATAAAGAAAATATACTTATCTATACAAATCATAAGCAAATGATTTATACATAACTTATTTTGACTAATATTGCTATTTGTAAATTAATTGTTCCCGCGTTAAAAAAAAAAAAGAAAATAATAAAACTAAAAACGTTTAATAAGAATACACAAATAAAAAATTATAATAAAATATTATCAGCAACATCGATATAATAATAAAACGATCATTAAGACGCAATATAAACAGTAATAAATAATTTAAATGGAAACAAAAAATGTTTTTCTACGATTTCAAACAAATTGCGTCATATTTTGACATAAATAACATTATGATAATTACTCGATTCTAATATTTTTATAATGAATTGTGCGATAGAACAAATTTTATTAAATACGAAATAACGTGTATATAAAAAAAAAAATCTTCCTCAATAATAGTATTTGTTTTGATGTCTGTCGAGAAAGAATACGAGTAATAAACAATCTTTGTTCAAAAACAATACGTTTATCATCACTACCATGATGGTTTGATTTATTCGTACAAATGATATGGAAGGAAAGAGAATGTGGTACATAGGAATCGGAGGAAGAGATTCGCACAAGACGAGGAAGACATATCAAACGTAAATTGTAATTGCCCTGTCATTGCCAAAAGGAGTAAGCATGGCGTCGATCATTCTAGAATGTTAGCTGTTAAAATAGATTATTATCGTATATCTCAAAGACCAAAAAATACTCACTTCTTGATCCTTGCCTTTGTTCTTAAATACCATCATTCGGTTCTTGTTTAGCATTTCGGCCGCCATTTTTCCAATAACCAATCTTTTTAATAGCGTAAATTGATGAATGTATGCCGGTAGAACAGACCCGTACAAACCGTTTTAATCTTCTATCCGTGGAAAAGTATAAATGATTTATTTCGACAACTGCATTCCGTCACACAATATCTTTATTATACGTTAGTATGCACTATCATGCATAACACTCCCTCTTGTTGAACCGCCACACGAATCGGTTGTCGCACGGTCACGTTTTTCAACACGAACGCAACGTTCGACCGTTCCGGAAAGTACTATGGGAACTAATGAAAGATGGCGTTCTAAGTCAAAGAAAATAACTAAGGAATTTTTTTATATATTCACCAATTACAACTCTTACTAATTAATATTTTTGACAATATCCTTGCAAAGAATCATGCGAATTAACCAATCCAATTATTCATAAAGAAAGCGCCAATTTTCTATCGAATGTTTGATTTTCTATTGGTTATTAATTTCAACGTTTTCATTGCGTTTAATCAATTCACCAATCAAATTTAATCTTCCAATATCTTTCGACTAATGAACAATTAGAATTACTTACATTTAAAGATCCAATAACAAAATTGTAAATTAACATTCAATATTTCTCAAACGCTGATTGGCTATCAAATTGCCAACCTATAGACTTGCGAAATATGATAAAATGTACATATTATTTACGCAAATTCGAAACTTGCCGAGTCATGCCATTAATACGTGTACTAAGAACAGTGGTGCACAAACTACAAATCGAGAGGGAGACTCACAATGATTGGCTGTTCGAAAATTTCATGAATTTTATGAATATATAGCAATAATATTATTTCTAAATGATCAATTATTTTCTATTTTTAACATCACATAATATCACTAATGTTATATTCACTAAAGAATTACAGAAAATTGAAAAATTGATTGTTTTTCAGCAACGCCATATACATATATATTAAAATAAGAAACATAATATTGGTAATTCTATTAATAAACTAATGTTGACTTATTATTTCGTTTTCTCGATAATTCGGCTTTTTTGACATCCTGTATTTTTGTTGTGAAAAAACAAAATTTTTATTTCAATTACTTATTATAGAAAAAAATCATTCTAAAATTATATCTATAAATCGTTAGTTCTCACATAAAATTAATTTTTACATCAAATACAATAGAAAAAAAAGAATATTAATTATTTACTACAGAAAAAAAATTCTCTCGTTATTATGTCAATGAGTATGTTTAAAAATAAATGTCTACAGAGACATTGCAAGGAACGCGCGACGCGTTTACTTCCGTTTAAAAAGAATTGTCACTCAAAGAGAAAATTCTTTTCTCAACATTCGTTCCTCATCATTTCGGGATAGGCCGTCGTTCGTAAAAACACAAACACCTCTCATCTTTCTGCCGTTTGGTCTTTATTATTTTAGACGACCCCCTTACAGCCCACCATCTGCATGCATACCCACGCTCATTTCGGCTTTTATACCCGGTAAGCATCGAACACTACGAGAAGGATCTGCAACTTCGTTTACGAAGAGTGTAAGGCATCCTGAGTATAGTGTTTAAGTCCCGTGACCGATTAAATATCAGGTATCATATTCTTTTTGTCTAACAGGAAGAAGTGACTTCCGATATCTTTTAAGTACCATAAATATGTCACTAATGTAAAAACAAATGTATCAAAAAAAAATAGAAGATGAATAGTAAAAGGGGATAAAAACTTGATCGGATCTTTTTGACAATCAAATCAATTAATAAAATATTAATAAAAATTAAAAGAATCTTTGAAAGATGAGACTGATCGAGAAACCTCCATCTTGGTAAATTCGATGGCATTGATGTCACCAATCCCATACTCGTCTCTTTCTCATTTCTTTCTTTATGTACATATTATTGCATACAATTAAGAATGTGAAAATACTTTTAATGAATAAAATAAAGATTTTCTTCAAAAGAGAATTATTTCTTTTGTCAAACACGAGTTGACTCACGAGCAAGAAAATACTTGGAAGAAGAACCGACGCTATTCTTGCATCCAGGTGTGAGCCTGTAACGCCAATGTAAATATACAACACTTACGCCATTCCGACGAAGCCTCTTCGAGAACTATTAACGTATCCCTCTCTTGTTCCTTTCCTCATCCACTTTCTTATATTTCGACCTATTTCTCGGCTACTTGTCTGCGCTCTTTGGCCCTTTGAGGGGCTAATAAAAAAGAACGACGAGAGATAGAGACATCGTTCTCGATTCGAGGGAATGAAAACGATGACTTTTTAAAGTCAACATGTTTATAATTTCAAACTTGTAAAGAGCATTCATCGTTTTTGACATTCTTACAAAAATAATAATCAATAAAAGAGAGAGAGAGAGAGAGAGAGGTATAATGATGTTAATTTATAGTGAATTAATATTAAATATTATTTTAATAATATATTAATTATTATTTAATATTATATATTATTATTATTACTCTCTGTTATATATAAATATATTGATAGAAATAATAATAATAATATTAATGCAATAAATATTTAATTAATTATTATTACATTGATATTACATATATGTGTTTCCTATAAATCATTTATAAGTGGAATATGTACTAATTTGTATATACTCGTAAAAGATTTTTTTACATCGTAAACAAGCCACGCGTCTTGAATTAAGAAACGCATCCTCATGATCGTAAACGGCCTTGTTTATCGCGATCGGTAGCTGAAAAGTCGAGTTGTTCTCCAGAAGAGTTTTGAAGCGTGTCAAGGAGTCGACTTGTACATCAACCATAGTAATAACAGTCATGGAAAAAGATATGAAATAATATTTAATCATCATTAACAAATATTAAGATTTACGCGCATATTCAAAATGTTTATAGTTTTTGTTTTCAACAATAAATGATTTTTGGAAACGTTTGACGTTAAAAATAGAAAATAAAGAAATTGGAATAATACAAAATGTATGGGGGGGGAGGGGAGATTGAAAAATATGAAACACATCGTAAAAGAATTTCGAAGAAGTACGAGATTTCACGGTATAATTTCAAAGTTTAAAAAAACGAGCAGTTAACCTTTGTATTTAGAAATAAAAATACAGATAACTCTAATTTCTTCCTAAACCAATAGCTAATTCTTTAACATTCTGAGAAAGTCATCTAAATTATCTCTATATTTCTTTTTTATCTAATGCATCATCACAAGATAGAGTATCGATTCAAAATAATATCTCAAATGAATACCATCTTAATTATCAAATTTGTACACATATATATATGCTTATAAATCATTATGTTTGTGTTAATAACTGTTAGTTGAAGAAAACAAAAATTGTCACAAAATTATCTAGAAACTATTTATATTACAAATATAAATAGTAAAATCAACTTAAAAAGAAAAAAAAAAAAAAGCTTTTTAAAAATTATTCCACTGTCATAATTACCGACACTCATACATACACACACACATACACGATGCAAATGATTTATTTATTTAAACAAGATTTCTTCGTCGAGTTTTCTGCTCGTTGATATGGTATTAGAAAATGTTACGACCTAAAATTCATCGCAAACATTAGAAACGAGCTGCGATAAGAAACAAACTAGCTGTTAACTACTACTCTTTCTCTCTCTCTCTCTTTCTCTCTCTTTCTGGTATCAACATTAACTCGTTTTATTTCTTCGTAAACAATAAGTAATAATCTACGAATAAAAATAAATGTTTAAGTAGAAAAAAAAAGAAATTCAAAAATAATAATTTACAATCGATCGTTAATCAATATCGTTAATCGATATGCAGATGCATTTAAAACAATATGAAAAAAACATACATATATCTTACAAGATAATTATTACAATACATTACGTAGATTTTCAATGAGACACGAGTATATGAGAGAGAATCAATCGCAACAATGTCCAACAGTAAAGAAAAAGTAATATTCGAATATTACTGAGAAACGTTATCCAAGAAACATTTCTCGCCGCATTACGATAGCGTAGGACGTACAGAAAAGATGATGAATTGCGTTTGTCTCTCTTGTAAATCCTTTGAAAGTACGTAAGTAAGTATAAATATATATATATATATAAATTTCTTGTTGTTGTTGTTGTGTTGTGCGTAACACGTAGAAAATATACATATATATATATACACAGAGTAGAATAAAATATACATAGAAGAATAAAATCAGTGTGAGTTCAAAGATATTACATTTGTATATGTTGTATATGTGTGTATAAATGTGTGCGCGCATACGAACAAGTAATGCGAGGGAGTTCTAGAAGTCCCAGTCTTTAGTCGGTCTTTAGTTTCGAATAAGCATTCGTTCAAGAAGAGAGGATTCACCGATCCCCTTCGGTACGCGTTCACGCACCCTTCCTCTCACTCACCCACTCTCACATTTTCTTTCTCCCTCTCTACCCTTCATCTTCTTCTTTTTCATCTTCATCTTCATCTTCTTCTTATTCCTCTTCTTCCGGCTTAATCGTCCACCACCCAGCCGGTTCTTCGTATATGTTCTTTTATCCTATTCGTTCATTAACAATCCTCGAACTTCCGTTCACCAATTTAATCATATTTATTATTTAAATGTTTACACGTCAAATATTACATCGATATCGACATTATTTGAATTATATTCAATATAATACGTTGTTTTTTTTTTATTTAACGATGACAATTATATTGTAGAAATAGTGTGACGATTTTGTGTTGAATTATATTTTTGATTAATATTAAATATATATTTGATATCAGTGTAATTATAAAGTTTATGTGAACTCTGACAAATATCGATCGATCTAATGGATATAAAAAGAAATGATAATCGTTCTAACAAACTTATGAATAATAGTGTTGGATAAAGAGAAGATACGCGGAAGAGAAGTTTCTCTTGAAGAAGAAACTTACTGCAAATGCGAAATTTTACTTAAAACAATGACGATGTGTTAACGCGTCGATGGTAATTGCAAAACCGGGTGAAGTGCAAAGTGCAACGAACGAGAACAGAAGAATAAAAATCAAAATCAAAATCAAAATAAATCAGGAAAAAGGAAGAGAAATTCTTTTGACCATTTCTTTTCTTGTTTGTTTTTTTTTTTTTTTTTTGTTAATTATTGTTAATTATTGTTAATTCGCACGAGTGATTCTTCTATCTTCTATTCTTCTTCTTGTTGTTGTATTTTTCTTCTTCTTCTTCTTCTTCTTCTCGTATTTGAAATTTATCTTCGAAAGAAAATCTTTTTCTTTCGTCATTTGATCGTTCGTTATGGATCGACG